GAAACTGAGCACCTTTACATTTTATTTGCATCTAGGTTTTTTTTTTACTATATGAACAATACAATACTTAATGATAAAAACAAAATTTAAAAATTTTAGGATGGTCATACTCTCAAAGGAGGATATCTTTTTAATCCTGCATATATGAAATATTCTGCAAGCATAGTTTGAAAAAAATTAAATTTGAGTGTGGGTTCTAAACTTTTCTGTGTGAGACCTGAAGATGACTTAATAGGAAGGAATGGCATTCAAGTAAATTCTTTGTTTCTTAAACGTTGCGTTTGTGAGCATTTGCTCTTTTCACCTGCAAGCCTTTTGAAATGGATAGTATACGTGTCCATTCTTTTTGGAAGCTGAGAACTCTGATCCTTTGGCATCTAAGCATAGAGCTTAGCACAAAGACAGTGCTTAATAATGAGCACCTTTACTGAATGAGGGAGATGGCCCATGGTCACCTGGCTGGTCAGCATTAGCTAGGGGGTGATAGTTCACCTACTGTATGACCTGATCCTCCGTGTTATAGTTCCACTTAATGTTTATAACATATTGGGATCTAGGGTGGGAATCTTGCCTTGTACCTTTGCTCATTATATGGCCCTTGGGCTCTCCTGGAGCTTGTTGTGTTCCTAGGCAAATTGACAATGCCAGCGTGCTCTTTCTCGTCCTTAGGATGTGAGGGAGAAGTGTTACGGAATTCCTGATGCTCAAGTACTTGAAAAGTGGTAGTTTTCCTGAAAGGAATCAGATGAAGTGTTGGTGTACAATTTTGTGTGAAACTCTGCATACAGGGCTTATTTCCCTTATGAAAACTGCTATTGCTGTAGGTCACAAACCTGGTTGTTTCCTTTACTCTTGATTATTAGTATCATTAACCACAACCCCTCTAAGCTGTTGGGAAGTTAACGTTCCCTATGTACATGGTGTACAGTAGAATTTTCTGTTGATATATCCTGTCTATACTCTAAACTTCAATTAATGCTTTTTGTCAGTTAGACTTAGAGAAATTGTGCTAAGGATACATACTAAACTGCTTTGTGTGTCCCTAGTACTACTCTTTGAACTCTTCTAAACTTGTGACTTTTTATCCCTTTTGCCCTCTTCCCCCTGGTGCCCTGTAAAAACATGGCAGCATCTGGTATTAGTTAATGCTATCAGTTTTATCAGCTGGATGCAGGTGGCCTGAAACTGGTTTATTCTGAAACATGTTATCTTTTCTGAAATAATATTTTTAAGTGAATTATCACAAGCTATAGAATTGTGCTTTAAGTCCTTTAATTTCGTACTGTGAATGAAAAATCTCTACCCTGGCCCTCTTTTGGATAAATTGTAGGTATCAGCAAGTAGGCAGGAAAATTTTTATTTGTTTAATAATGAAAGGCTTTAAGGCAATACTTTTTCTTTTGAGTATATCTGATTATATTTTTTTGAGTATTGATAAGTAGCAATCTTGTTCTTTAAAAAATAATCTGTAATTGCAGATATCTGTTGACCCATGAATTACTTAGGCTAGCATTTTTAAGTTTCTAATATTTTTATTTAGAACTAGTTTCTAATTATATTGCTTTGGAAATTGAGAATATGGTTTTATGCAGTTCACGTTCATTTAGAACTATCTGGGATTTTATTTGTGGCATAATATATTATTTTTATAAATGCTCTATGGATGTTTCAAAAGAAGATATTTATTTATTTATTTAGACAGGATCTCCCTATGTAGTTCAGCTGGCCTTGAACTCACTGTGTAGCCCAGGTGGGCCTTGAACTCATAGTGATCCTCCTGTTTCAGCCTCCCTGAGTGCTGGGATTATAGGCGTGCTCCACCATGCCTGGCCAGGAAGATATTTTTTATATGTGAGTATAAAGCCTGATACAAGTCCATGGACTTTACAGTGATTTAATTTTAATCCTTTGCTCTTTGTAAGTTTTTCCTGTAGAATAGGTTGGGCTGAGAGCTGTGTTGTTCTAAATCTAGAAGATTTGGGGGGTTTTCATGCACTTTTAATAATTTTTGCTTCTTGTCTTAAACTTTTTTAAGCCTTTCAATACAATATTTGACACAAAACTTTATGGTTGCTTCATCTTGATTCTTACTCCACTTAATCCTTCTGCCTTGAATTGTACTTTGTCTTGTATTAATGTTTTTTGTGTTTTTATTTGCTCGGTGTATATCTGATCTGGCTATTTTGAAAGATGCTATCATTTTTCTCCTTCACTATAAGATATATTGTCTTTAAGAAAGGGGAGTTACATTCATTAATAATGGCTGTCATAGCCCATAATTTTGGATATACTTCTGTCTTCTTATTTTCATCATTTCTAATGTATTCTTGCCTTGTGTGGGAGTTAGAAGGGCTGTTTTTGTTATATGAACTGTCATTTTTTTAAAAATGTCTTCCATCCACAGTGTTTTGAAGGTGTCTATTTTTTAAATTCTGCAGTCTGTAACTGCATCTCAAATTTGTCTGCCATATAGATTGTTTTTATGCTCTTTATTGTGTCAGTTTTGGTCCTCGCTGCTCTCACCGTGGATTTAAATTCTCTTATTGCAATGTGAGTTTCCCTTCCTATTTCATTTACTTTCTTTTCACATTATCCTGTTATCTTTTTACCTTAAATGCTTCTTCTGTTATGGCTGTTTGTACCTTTTTCACCAACATCTTTGGATATTTGAATGAGGCTGCTAAAAGTTTTCTAATATAATCTGTTGGCTCCTGTGGCAAACATCATTTATAGGAAAATGGGTGTATCTCTAGAGCATAATCTTAAGTGAAATAAATTAGACACACAAGTTTAAACATCACATTGTTTCTCTTGTGTGAGAAACCCACAGGGTGAATAAGGAGCATAATGGAGGATAGATTTTGGGAACAGGGAGAGGGAGGGCTAAGGAAAGGAAGGGAGAGGGAATTTAAAAAAGAGAATGGAAGGGAAAAAAATGAAAACAAAGCTTGTGTAAATGGGGAGGGGCAGAAGGATTGAAGAAGGGAGGGAAGGGAATGGGGAAAAAAAGAATTCAGATATATTATGTAAAGGTACAAATTCCCTATGATGAATATGATCACTGTGTATTGCAAATATGTACTAATGAAAAAAAGTTTAAAAAAATCAAAGTACTTTAGTACAAATGCACACAACTAAGTGAATTCAGGAACTTAGGGACTTCAATTCAGGAATCAGTGTTTTTAATCTAAGGAGTAAAGCCCCAAACTGGTAATCTCCAGGGCCTCAGGAACTTAGTGAAAACAGAGTGATGAGTTCTTACACATATCAAAGATACAAAAATAACAACAAAGAGGAAGAGATGATAGCTAAGATCTGTAAAATATAATTTGCTTAAAATTGCCTTCTTTCATTCAAGTCTGTATAACAAAATACCATAGGGCAGCTCATACACAGAAATTCTCAGTTCTGGAGCCTTGCGGAAGCCCAAGATCAAGGTATAGCAGATTCAGTGTCTGGTAAAAACTGATTCCTGGTTCAAAGCTGGAGACTTCGAGCTGTGATCTGAATGGTGGGAAGGACGAGGCAGTTTTTTTAGGCTTTTATTTAAGTATGTTTATAGTAATGGTCAGTTCTGTCTCACTTTTCAGTTCCCTTGAAGTACCTTCTAGTTCGTAACTTGTGAGTTTTACACAATGGTTGGGGTTATCCTAGATACTAAGAAAATGAGTGAATGTTAGTTTCTTCCTGCTAGAAAGTTGATTATGAAGTCTAAAATGAAACCTACAAATCTTTTTGAATCCTAGAACTATTCAAATATTATTTCTACCTAGATGACTTAAAATGTTCAGCATTTTTGAGTATTTAGATGATGTAGTCCTCCTTACTTATCATATCTTGTTAATATAATATGTGTAGAAAGAATTAAAAATGTCAGTTTATATTTTTGTTCTTTTGTTGAAATACATAGAAATTGAGAGTGGACTTTTGCCTCTAAATATTCAGAAGTAGATTTCCTTTTAATAATTTTGACTTTGCCTACAGTGCTTGTATTAAATTTGTATTTAGCAACCAAGTCCTTATGTGGCATCTACTTTAGCCCCATTTTGGGAGTTTCTTTTAAATATAAGCAGTTGATGTGCTCTGGCTAGTATTTGAAGAATGTAACTGATTCACTCAACTTAAGAAAGTACACCACAGGGCCGGGGATTTGGCTAGTGGTACCGCGCCTGCCTCACAAGTGCAAGGTCCTGAGTTCATTCTTGGTACCCGGGAAAAAAAAGGTTCACCACAGCAAGAAAAAACCCAGCAGAAATCTAATTTTATGGTTTATGAGATAAAAGCATAGTTAAGGCTTTTTCTAGACTATCTATGTCAAGTCAGTATACGAATACAAATGTGTTGGTTATTAATACTGACTGATAATTCCATCTGACATATAATGTTCAAATCGTGTACCATTTCACACTTGGAGGCTTGCTTTTTTTAGTGAAGTGACCCTTTGCTTTCCTCCCAGTTCTCCCCATGGGTCTCAGGCCTTGAAATGGGCTAAGTGCAGCCATCAGGTGTAAAGGCAGTTTTGGTCTTAGATGCTGTTATGACAAAGAGCAAGCGTCACACTCTCTCCTCCCTACAGTTTACAGAAACTTGGAAAATTAACAAAGGGAAATGCAAAGAATTGGAATATGACCATCACTTATACACCTTGGCATTTGAGAATGAAAGGCAAATAGCAGGTGAGTCCAGGAAAAAAAAAAACCCTGGAAAAAAGTTACTGTCCTCTCAGTACAGAGGTGTGAAATGACACTTTGAAACTACTAGAACCAGGATTTTGTGTTGTGTTCTGCCTCAGCACCGGCCAACATTCTCCTTAATGGAAATTTTACTCTTGGGAAACCTTAGAAATGCTCCAAATGAGGTTTATGAGCCACCCACTCACCTGTTTGCTCATTTAAGAATGCTTGTGCACTGCCTGCAGTGTGAATCAATTGTTGGAGATACAAAGAAAAAAAGACAAAAATTTGGTTTCCAAGGAATTAATAAATGAAGAGAGTAGCTTATGCAACTTAGTAGAATGGGATATTGCAGAGTAGAAGTGTGTGTAGCTTGTGATGGGAGCAGGGGGATAAGACACTAGGGAATGCTCCAGGAGGAATGCTTGGGTCAAGCATTGTAGGCCGGCATTCTGAGTCCAGGCTGCATGCAAGGACACTAAAGAGCAAACTACCTGTGGCGAGTAGGGAGGGTGCTCGGCAAGAGATTAGGTGGACGAGTAAAGGCCCTGTATGTCTTCCTGTAGAATTACGGTTTGCTTTTGGGATAGGGAGAACTGTATAGTTGAAAGGGTTTGAATCTGGTGAGATTTGAATTCTAAAAGATCATTCTGGTAGATCATGTTCTGGTGGACAGTGAAGTGGTGTAGGGAATGAGACCATAGATGGGAGGGCAGCAGGGAAACTAATGTGATGGTTAGCATCAGAAAATATGCAGAGCTAGGTGAGGCAGTGTAAAGGCATGAAGGAAATGGGCGTGACACGTGAAGACAACAGAATAGAGAACTTACTGATTAATTGGAGGCCATAAAAGGCATCAGAGATGACTCTTCCATTTTATCTTTGAGCGACCAGGTGAGTATTAATTCCATTAACTGCCTGCTCCCCCAAATAAAATGCTGCACAAAGTCCAAGGAAGGTCTGAAAAAGTGTCCAGCAGTTAGGCATCTAGGATGTCATTGGTGAGTTCACTGAAATGAGACAACTTCCTGATTCGGTCATAGTTTAAAGCTGCTTTAGAGAAACAGTGGCCAGGTAGGTGTCATAGGTTTGCCAGACAGTTCAGATGATGCAGTTGAAATCAGATCGCCTTTATTTGTGGAGGCAACAGTCGGCTCTGGGATTTCCCTTGGCCTATCTCAGCTGCCTGGGATTAGGAACAGAGAATGTAAACAGGAGACTAAAGAAGAAAGAGTGGGATGGTAGGGTTGGGGTTTTGCCCAGTGGGTGTCGCAGGCTCATAAGGAGGCAGGGTCCTGAAGGAGCACGGAGAACAGTTCCTATTGGCCATGTGTTTACAGATGGAGAAACTGAGGCCTGCTGATAAGAGATTCATTACTGCAGGAAGAGCCCTGCTTTGGAGTAAAATCTAGATTTACTTAGCTTGCTGTCCTGGGAAGGATATTTTAGAGCCTTTGTCTACATAAATTTTAGCCTCGCATTCCAGATGAAGACATTAATTCCAGGTATTTGTGGGTGGTGATTGTTAGTAGTAATAGAATTAATAAGGTTCTAGGATTTAGAGGCAGATCTGAATTTGAGTTTCAAATGTGGAAACTTGGTTAACTTTCTTGAACTCTGCATCTGCTTTTTCATCTGTAAATTAATATTCTCATAGGCTGTTTAGAAGTCTAAAGCTAAAAAAAAATACAGTAATCGTAATTGTAATGTTTCTTTAGTACAGGTCCATGTACAGAGTAACAGCACAGAGGCGCAGCTGTTCATTATGCTCTTTTTATTTTTATCATTAGTCAGTGAGAACAGTCAGGAGTTTCTTTCCCTAAGAGATTTATTGCTTTACTGGAGTTCCAGTGTTCTATGTACAGAAATGGGCTCGCTCTATTTATTTTGCCCAGCACTTGACATACTTTTTCTGTAGGTCTGTTTTCAGTTTTGGATGTGTTCTGCCATTTGTTCTGCTTTTCACCCTTGCTCTTACTGAATTCTTGTTGGAGTTGCTCAGTCTATCATCCAGGTTCCTCAACCTGCCTTTCAGATTTTCTCTTTTTTTTTTTTTTTTTGTACCACAGATCGAACTCGAGACCTTGCGCTTTCCAGGAAGGTGGCGGAACCACTGAGCTAAATACCTGGCCCTCAGATTTTCTCTCTTTATGAGTCATTTTTGATGCTTTTTTCCTGTTATTTATTTAGTTGAGTGTACTGATCAAGGCATCCTTGAGCTTTTCATTTTATTGCCTGTATATTATATTTTCATATGTGGAATTCCTGCTTCTTTTCCATAACTGCATGTTTTTATTTCATATATTCTGCTATTGCATTGTGAACTTGATTCCTTTTGTCTCATATATATTTGAAGTTCCACGGAGAATGTTCTGTCTGTCGTTTGTTACGAGTGCTGGCATTCTGTTACGTACTCATACTTAGGAATACAATTTGTCTCCCATACAAGTGCAGATGATGGAGCAAACACAAATGGGCAGAGGACAGCATGTGGCCCTCCCTAATGGAATGGGCCTTGTCTGGTCTGCTGAAGGTCTGAATCCACACAAAGGCTGCCTCTTCTACCAATAAAGGGTGCTTCTGCCTGATCATCTTGAACTACCAAGTGAGTCTTTTCCTTCCTTTGACTCAAACTGAAACATCTGGTCTGAGCTTTCAAAACTGCTAGATTTTGGTCTGGAACCTACCCCATCAGCTTGCCTGGGTCTCCAACTTCTGACTGAAGAAGCCAGAGTCTGTCTGTCTGTCTGTCATCTGTCTCTCTCTCTCCATACATGTGTGTGTGCCTGTGTGTGTGTCTGTGTATGTGTGTGTGTGTGTGTGTGTATACACACACACACATCTGTCCACAAATCTACACACATTCTCTTGGTTCTGTTTTTCTGGATCACCTTGATTAACACAGGTTTTGTACAAGAATGCTTCTAGAGGAACAGAACTTTAAAGATGTGTTTTCTGAATTAGGTCTGGGATTTTTGGAATTCACGGTCTAATCCGATTAGATTAAAACATGTTAGTGACTTTATTTGCAGTAGTAAAAAGAACACTGAGAGTCCATGGTCTCATGTGGCAGTAGGGATATACAAAATGTTGTAATTGAATGTTCTTTTTTTTTTTTTTTTTTTGGTACCAGGGATCGAACTTGGGTCCTGCTTGCGAGGGAGGCGGCGGAACCACTGAGCTAAATCCTCGGCCCCATAATTGAATGTTCTTAATCAACCACTTATAAGATCAAGGCTCTGAGTAATTGTGTATATGATGCTTTTGGCCATTTTAGGCAAACAAACAAATAAAATGAAGTTACCTGGTTGCTTCCAGTGTCATTGGGCAAAGTGGGGAAAGAAAAGGATGAGCTCAGGGATTCAGATTCCTAGCTTGAGCACCACATAAATGATCCGAAGGCTCTGTGTGTGTCCTGAATTAGAGCCTCATTTCTTATAGCTGTGGGGCTGAGATGGTTGAAAATTAAACCCAAGTCTTATCCTGTGACTGGCTGAATTAAAACATGAAATGAATTCCTAGCTGCTTGGAGTGTCTACTGTTAAAGAAAGGCTGTTTCCTTTCCCTTGTTGGCGAAGGAATGGGACCTGGAGGTTGAAATGGGGATGTATATGAAGACTTACCTAAAACTGGGGACATTGAGCCCCCAAATTCTGACGAGTCTTTTGGCCCATGAGCATGGCCTTTCAACCCCTAGTTAGAGTGTCCTCTCCCCACTCCATTGTCCAAGGGAGCTTGTAGTAGCCTTCTTGAGGAAGTTGTTTTTGCAGGATAATGCAAAGACTCCCACAGGATCTACTCTCACCATCCCTCTGTGTTTCCAGACCTGTAACTTCATCAGGGCTCTGAAGGTGAGGTGTGAACTGTGACCCATGGGGAGATGTGTACACACTCCAAAAGAACTCCTTATGTTTCCCAAATTACACGCAGAAATTTGGGGAGCATGTGTAGGATGGGTATTACTACTGTGGGATTGAGAGGAGGAACATGAAGTTAGACCAAGCCAAATTTATTGACATAGGCTTCTGCAGCCTAGGGGGTTAGAAAGGGCTCTAGCAGTTTGTTGAGTTGGCCCAAATGAACCAAAAGGTAATCCAAAGTGAGTTAGTTAGAAATGATGAATTTACTTTGGTTTAATACAGAGGACAGGGTTCAAAGGCTTAGGGAGATTGAAATGTTAGAATGGATTTATCATTTAAGACCTATTCACACATCCTAGAAGGGTCCACAGATATACTTTTCACCATAACTCTAAGAAATAAAATTAGGTGGGAGCCCCAGCATCCTCAAAGAGTTCTGTGACTGCTTTTCTTTGTGGGAAAACCTTACAGTGGGAACTGCAGTTATTGAATTGGGAAAACTAAATGCAGTGAAGTAATTGGATCCCAGGGTGGTGGGGCCACTTTCAAATGCAAGGTGGGTGGAGTTACCATAATGGACACCAGGATTAGTACAGCAATCAGAATACAGTAGTCTGATTTGTGCAAATTTATGGCATTGGCTAGTTAGTTAGGAAGACATAAATAGATAGGAAGACAAAAAATTTTTTTCTTTTCTTTGTGCTGCTGGGGATTGAACTAGGGGCCTTATGCATGCTAGGAAGGTGCTCTACCACTGAGTTATACTTCTGGCCCAACAACTAAACACTTACTCAATCTCTGTATGCAGAAAAGTTCTAGATCAAATGAACAAAAGTCCAGCCTGAGTCATTAATACAGGGTCACAGCCTCTCAGTCCATTCCTAGACTTGAGTAAGTTTATAGACCCTTTGAATAAAGAGGAGGCCAGATCCCCTTAAGGAGGGACCACAGTACACTACTAAAATTTTTTGTTTATCTTTTTTCCAGGGTAACTGTGCATTTGAGTAAAAGAACTAGTGAGACCTTTTAGGGACTGCTGGATGCCATCTCTAAAGTGGAACTAATTCTAGGAGAGCCAAAGCATCAGTATGGCCCACCTGTCAGAGTAGGGGCCTGCAGGCTTCAAGGGACTGATGAAGTTTTTTCTCATGTCTGACTCACAGTGAGCCTAGTATGCTCTGAGCCTATCTTGTGCTTGTTTCCTCAGTTCTAGAAAGCATAATTGGAACAGGCACACTTAGCAGCTGGCAAATCTTATTAATTCCTTAACTTAAAGCATTGAAAGCTATTATGATGCGCAAGCCACTACAGCTTTCTTTAGCTAGGAAAATTATAAACCAAAAGCAATACTACATTTCTGAAGAGATTAGTGCTGCTACAAAGGCTTAAAGGAGGCAGGGCTGGTATTTCCTAGGGCATCTTATTAAACTCTGCTATTTGGCATGTGAGGAGACAGGTAGATCTTGGAGAATGACATTAGATTTTATTATTATTGTGAATTTAAATAGATGGTGACTTCATTTGCAGCTGCTGTACAGATGTGGTTTCATTGCTTGAAGCAAATGAACTTACCCCCCGGTATTTGGTATACCATTATTGATGTGCCAGGTACTTTATTCTCTCTCAGTAAATAATGTCCACTAGAAGATAGTTGCTTTCATCTAGCAAGGCCAGCAGTATACTTTCACTGTCTTACTCCAGGACTGTATCTGTTCTCCAGGACTGTAGTGTATCAGTTTAGTTTGCAGGAATGTTGATTGCCTTTTCATTCTCTAAGGTGTCACACTGCTCCATTACTTTGATGATATTATGCTTATTGGACCTAGTTAGCAAGTACACTAGACTTCTTGGTTAGACGTTTGCATGTCAGAGGGTGGGAAATAAAAATAATTAAAAGTAGAGACTGTCTGTGTCAGTGAAACTTTCAGGATCCATAAGTGTGGGGTATGTAGAGATACCCATTCTAAGGTGAAGGATAAGTTTGTATACCTGGCCTCTTTTACAACCAAGAAAGTGGCACAGTGCAGAGTTGACTTATTTGGATTTTGGAGCAACACCGTCCTCCCTGGGGTGTGTTAGTCTAGCTCGGGTACTGAGTGATTTGAAAAGCTTCTAGTTTTCAGTGGAGCCCAGAACAGGAGAAAGCTCAGCTGTAGGCCTCGGTGCAGTTGACTGTTCCGCTTGGGCCATATGATCCTGCAGATCCGGTGGTACATGGGGTGTCAGTGGCAGACGGGGAAGCTATTCGGAGCTTTTGGGAGGCCTTATAGGAAGCCTAAGCATAGGTGCTTAGGTTTTGGAGGAAGTCTGACTGTCCTCTGTGGATCACTACTCTCTTTTTGAGAAAAAGCTCTTGGTCTGCTACTGGACCTTAGTAGATACTGAATTCTACCAGGGAACCATGTGACCTGGGCTGCCTATTCTGAATTTGGTTACTCACAGAAGCACCTCATCAAGTGGAGGTCGTATGTATATAGTCAGGCCTGAGTGGACCCTGTAGGCACAGGTAAGTTATATGAAGAAGTAACTCATATGCACCTGTTTCACTCCTGTTATACTACCTTCTCTGCCCTAGCCTGTACCAATTCCTAGCAGTCAATTGTCAGAGGAAGAAAAGACTCAGGCCTGGTTTTCAATTGTTTCTGCAGGCACCACCCAAATGTGAATAGCTGTAGCACTACAGACCATCTCTGGGGCATACCTCCAGGACATCATTAAGGGAAATCCTGTCAATAAGCAGGACTTTGGGCATGCTCCCTGGTTGTATACTTTGCTTGAAAGGAGAAATGGCCAGATACATGCTTATTTTTGGCTATAACCACTGATTTGGTGAGATGGCCAGGGACTTGGAACAAGTTGGAAAATCCATGACATGGGTATAATCTCAGCTCACACAATGGCATCAAGGTAAAAAAGCACAATCAACATCACCTTGGCAGACACACAGGGAGAACTGGGTGATTTCCACTGAGAACTTTGAACCCTGGTCTCAGGATCATAACCATAGATTCAAGTTTCATCACCTGTGATGATATTTCTTAAAAAGCTGGAATCTGAAGCAGCAAGTCCAGTGAAACTGACAGCATTTCATGTTGATCTATTGTTTGTGATCCAGGATCTAGGGGCACACTTTAAAATACACCTTTCAACTATAGCTCAAAACTGACGGAGTGCACTAAACATTTTAAAATCTGTCAAAGTTTTAGTAATTTTCAGTGCAGCACTTCTCATATTGAAGAGCCCTACCTTTCTGTTGAATGTTACCCTGCAGCAACATTCATCATACTTTTTCATCACACCTCAGATCTTTGCCATTTTGGTCATTCAGAGGTTAACCTGTGAATATTATAAGGGCTTATTAGAACATTTAAGAATTGATGTACATATAAAATAGTTTGAGAAATGGGCACATAGTTTCATCCTCTGTCATGACAGTGCTCCAAGTCATACTTTGTTTCTGGTATGCAATTTCTGTCAAATAAAAAGTTACAGTATGTCCTTACTACCTTATTCATTCACTGGATCCAGCACTGTGTGACTTGCGGCTCTTCCCCAAAATGACCATGGAAGGTAAACATTTTGAATTGATTCAAGACATTGAGGCAGCCATGAGAGTGCAACTAAAAATACTCGTGAAAGAGACTGCTCTGAAAATGGAAAGAATGATGGAATAAGTGTATTCAAAGCAAGGGGGGGGTGTTTGAAAGAGGAATTAATGGTAATGTGTCTTACTATAATATAATTTAAAAGTCACTATAGTTTTTGATCACACTTGGTATTGTGTCCCATGCAAATGCCCACCTAAAAGGTGACCTCAACAGCAGAGGATTTTAATAAGTTCATAGGATGACCCATTCTATGGGTACCACTCAACTTTTTTCTCCAGTTACCCTGCTGTTGTCCAGGCTCATTGACAAAGTGGCTATGGTGCCAGGAATGGAGGCTATGCATGAGCTCAGCAACATGAGCTTCACTCACCATGGCTGACCTGGCTATGGCCACTGTTGAGTGTCTGCAGCTCACTAAATTACTATTACTATGTGACCTAAGCTACCCATCATGAACTGGGTGTTATGGGACCTACCATAGACACCTTGGTTATTATTGTGAGTCCAGTCTGCCAACAAGAGAGACCAGTGCTGATTCCCTCAAATGACACCATTTCCTGGGATGATCAGCAAGCAACCTGGAAGGAACGATATTTTGTTTTTATAGGGGTAGATGATTACTTTAGATACAGATTTGTGTTTCCTGCATGCAGTATTTCTGCCCACACTACATCTGTGGACGTACAGAATGCCTTATCCACTATCACAGTATTCCACATGGCATAGCTTCTAATCAGAGGACTCACACAAATGAAGTATGGAAGTTTTCACAAGCTAATGGGCTTCACTGGCCTTGTCTTGTCACTCACCACTTTGAAGCACATACTTCAGTAGGACACTGGAATGGCCTATTTTTTTTCCATTAAGTTTATTGGTACATTTTAGGTATAAAATACAGTTAACATTCATCATTGGGATCTTGTACCTTTACATGATGTATCTTGGTTCTTAT